GCCGCCTTCTTCCCGTTAACCGTGATGCCCCAGCAAGCCCGCGCCACCGCGGGGCTCCTGCTGGAGAAACTCGGCTGGGGAGCTGCGCCGGGTTGCCGCCGGCAAGCTGCACTGAACCCGCGTCGCTTGGCGTCCCCTCGTCCCAGCCTCTGCCGAGTGGGTCCGGTAGGGGAGTTGCGCCGAGTCACTACCGGCGAGCCGGGCCGAGCCAGCGCCACCGCGGGGCTCCTGCCGGGGCCGTGCCGAGCCGCTATCCGCGAGCTGGCGCCGCCTGGGCCCGCTTCGCTGGCCATAGGACCAGCTGGTATTCTGCGGCGGGGGGTTGGGGGGTGTTTCTGCAAAAAATAAAAATGCCATGTCGGCAGCTGACAGGCGGGCCCCGCCGATCAGATACACCGTCAATACGAGTTTATACGCGATTTAGACCTCTTTGTAATGGCCAACCCCAGGGTACTGACACGTAAAAATTACTAAACTTGGTACCAATCTACTTTCAATGCCCCTAATTGTGGTATTTCTGTATAATTTACTCCCGGAGAAGGCTCCGGGCGGGTTCCTCGCTTAATTAATTTGTCCATCTTGTCACTGGCGATGGACTGTGCGCGAACCAAAGAGGACACCCGTGGCAAAACATACATGATCACGGCGATGGACGTATAGCACATTAGCACTTGGTCTTGAGTAAATTGCTCTGCATGCATCCAGGAGCGCGCGGGACAAGGGAAGCCGCAAAAAGGATATATATAGGAGCTTCTCCATGGCTAGCTGGTGCCAGCGAGCAGGTAGGCAGCCGATCCCGATCGAGGAGAAGAAGAGTAAGAGAAGTCGCGAGATGGCCGTGCACGCAACCCGTCCGTCAGGCTGCATGCCGCAGACGAGAAAATGGACGTCCGTACGTCGCCGGCGAGGCCCGGCTTGCACTTGCAAGTTGCATCGACGACATGGCAACTGGCGAGGAATGAGGAGAGAGAGGGACTGGAGACATCAATCAGTGATTGGAGCCATCGTCGCCGTGGAAGGAGCTGCCGAGCCTCCGGCGGTGAGGTGCGCCGTTGCGTTGCTGGGTGGCGCGGTAGGCGGAGCAGGAAGCTGCGTCGCCCGTTGCCTCTGTGGCTGCGCGCCCGCACGCCGGCGACCTGCAGTACTACGCAGGAACCCCGAGTGTTAGATGATAGGCTTGTAGAGGACGTGACAACCTGTAACGTTATTGTGTGCGTGAGTTATGTTGTAAACCAGGCCGGTGGTTAGGCTAGATTGATCCTTATCTCTCTATCTTGTGTATGACTTGGAGTAGAGGTCAAGACTAATAACCACCGGCCAATCTCTGTAATCTTATGCTATATAACACGA